CKYKTGTTAATATATCTATTGTTTTCATCTTTGCTTGTTCTTATCATTGTGCTTATGCTTATGTCTATGTCATTCAATACATATATCAGTGCCCAACCTAATGACGTATACACAAGTGCCACAAAAAATCTACTAACCTGTYATTTTCCTTCACCAATTTGTCAAATGCAGCACTGTTTTTTACTTGTCTTATTTCTTTAGTGACATCTTCAAACTCTTTGTTTAGTTGTAAACTTTGATGCATGAACGCTGCCCAGTCCATTTTCAAATGATATTTTATTTGTTGCAACTCCAACTGTTCGTTTCTAGTGGAAAGCAAAATTTAATAAGTACTTGACAATTTATCAATATTTGGTTGTAAAGGCAGATTTACATGGTACGATTGTCGCGTGCGACTCAAATTAGCTCCAAATCGTGCCGTGTAAATGCCCCATGCATACGACTTGCTTTACGGCTTGTCGTACAAATCCTACAACTTGTCGTAAATAGAAAAACCGCATACTGCAAGCCGCATTAAATCGTTCAAATCGGTCTAAGTCGTACCTCGCATATGAGTATATACAATTAAAAAGAAACAACATCTAACCTTTCAGTTAATTCTTTAAGCTTTTCCCTTATTTGCTGTAGCTCTTGGTCTTTCCTGAAAAAGGAGCGAAGCAAGTGAGGAAAAACTGAAAAAGCTTTTGCAAAAGGCTCGGGTACGTCCGAGAATCTTTGCGCAATTTTCTCRCATAAAACACGCAATCTTTGACTTTGATTTTTAACAGACCAACCCAGTTGGTCTACAATTTATGCCGACCTTCCCCGGAAAACAAACGACATTAACAGTGCAGAATGAACAGTTAATCTCTCGAAGCGTAGGAGAAAATATCTACGAACATTTAAACGAAGCTCAACGTAATAGGCAGAAATGTAATCCGCTAACCTTGCCAATTCCTCGCCAAATTCCAATTTCATCTTCTCTACGTCTTTGTCGTCTTCATCGTTAGTAGTCTTGGAAGTTTCAATGGTTTGAATCTTGACATCGCGTTTTCTGAAATTAGTTTGATTATTGTGGTTATCCAGCTTGTTGCTGCCTGGTGGTCAACTAATCAGTTAGGATGGCGATCGCGATATAGTTTAAAAGGGCCCGCACTTACCGAACGGGGGCTTTGCCAGTGCCCAAGATCTCATCTTCGAGACTCTGATAGTAATAAAAAGAATTTCAGTATAGTAGGGCAAGGCTGATTTTCCGTCTC